TGAATTATGCTGACCATATCATCCGCCCTCCTGCCTCCTCCATCCTCCCCCACCCCAACCCCTGCACCTCTCCCTCCTTCCCTCTGTAACTTCCTCATCCTTGTCCAACGAGGGGTAGGGAAGGGGCTGGATGGCGGGGATGCGGGGGGCAGGGATAATAGAGGATGAGGTGGATGGGCGAGCCTGAACCTTCCAGGGGGCTGCTGTCTGGCCATAAAGGGCAACAAACCAGCCCTCACGGCTGGAGCACACAACTCTCGGGTGCTGCTTGCTCAGCATTCCTGAAACTCGGAGATGCAAACTGGGCGAGGAGGATGCGCTGCGGGCGGGGAGCAGGACGGTGGGACGAGCTGGAACCAAATCACAGCAGCCTTCTGGGCGAAGGTTAGATAATCCTTCTTCTAATACGAACTCCTTTTCATGTTCGGGGATGGGCTCAACCCTCCCCTATACTCCTGTGGTCTTGGTCTGAACCAGCAAGGGACGAGGGAGTTAGGGGTTAGAGCGTCCAGGATGGCCCAAGATAGCCTCTGAGATGGCCCCAGGTAACCCAAAATGTCCACCGAAATGGCTCACGATAGCCGGTCATGGCTCGAGATGGCCTCCAACATGCCCCCAAAAAGCCCCAAGACCGTCCCGGCACGGCTCCAAGTGGCCACGGAGCTTCCAAAGAATGCACCCGAGAGGCCGAACGTGCTCGTCGTTTCGCTACCGATGGGCTTCTGATACTTCCAGATGGCCCCAAGATGGCTCAAGAGAGCCCGAAGAGGGGCCCAAGAGGGGCACAATATGGCCCGAAAAACTCCCACGAGGCTCCCAACAGCGCTCCAAGAAATCCCCAACGGGCGAATGGTCGGTGTCCGATGGGGGGGCGAATCGACGCCGCCATCTTTTCTCGACCGCTGGAATCCAAAATCGCCACACGAAGGCTCCAAGATCACCCGAGAAAGCCTCAAGCGGCTCAAGCGGGTCCCAAGACCGATCAACAAAAACCTCTGGAAAGCCCCAAGGGAACTCCGACAGGCCTTCCAGAAGATCCCAAGAGGACCCCAAGAAGACCCCGAATTGCCCCAACAATATCTCACAACAACAAGTTTGTGACGGCATGATCCGGTCTTCCACGGACCCGTTGGCGCTGTTCTTCCTCTGCGTACTTCTTCATTGCCCTGGTCAGCGCAACTCGCCTGGCGACCGCTCCTGGATGGGATGTTGCGCATTTTTTCCGTCGCGGCCTCAGGCGACGGCGCCCGCAGCTGGTCGAGTCGGTTCGGGCTACGAGCAAACCTAATTGCCAGCGCGCGCGCAGAAAAACAGGACCTACCGCTGCTGAGCCGGGGCGAAACAGCTGCGCCGAGGGTGGGGACTGCAAGCTGCTGGGGCTGCCAAGAGGCTGCAAACGCGCGGGTACCGTGGGAGCTGGATCACCAGGTACGTGAATTTGGACCTTGTCGCCACAGGGCGCCAGAGGCCAGGGCGCCACAGACGTGGCGAAACGCGGGACCACGTGAAAGCCCAGCGAGTGACGGCGGACCGACGGGGGTCGCTCAAGTCCGCTCAAGGAGGCTGCTGCGCATACTTTTTGGTCTGCGGGCTCGCGAAGCAAGTCGAAGGCCGTCCGAACACTAGCCCGGCCGCGACTAGGCAGCAAGAAAAGAGAGGGACAAGTGAAGCGAGCGCGCGGGCAGCCACTCAGAAGGAGGACCAAGAACGGCAATCCCAACCCGGTGGCGTGGAAATCCCGATGGCGACCATCAAGTAGGCACAGCCAAAAATGGCGCGGCGGAGCGACCATGAACACGCAGAGGTCGATACTGCTGCGCCGACTTTTTTGTCGCGGCCGCAAGCGAACGCGCCAGCAGCGTCAGAGGTCGGGCGGGCTACGCACGAGCCTACTTGCCTAGCGCACGGGGACCGACGGCCGAACCTAAGCTGCCTAAGCTGCCTAATGCTGCGCATGTTTTTTTTCGGTCGCGTCCACTAGCGAAGGCGCTAGCGGAGTCAGAGGCGCTCCGGGACACGGTAGCAGCCGAATTAGCTACTAAACGCGCCGCAGGCCGGCTGGTCCTCTCACCAAGCAGCGGAAGGCTGCGCGGGAGAGCTGGCAAGCTGAGGGCGTCCAGGGAAGCTCAGGCACTTGCAGCCCAGCAGAGCGCTGGGGAATTAGAGGTGTGCCGTGAGGCAAGGCCCGCTCGAAGCACGAGGACGAGTGCGGCGATGACAGCGTGTCCAACATGCCCGTTGGGCGTCCAGGGGTAGGAAGCGATGGACGAGTCGCCAGTGGGGCGCCAGGCCCAGGTCGCGCCAACGGCGCCTGCGAGCCAGGAGCTGCGCTGCCGAGGAACGTCGCAAAAATGCTGCGCATACGCGAAGCGTCCGAAATTCTGCTCACCTACCCCAGGGCCTGGGGGAAGCGAGGGAGAGGGGGGGAAGCGCAGAGGGAGAGGGGGGAAAGCGGGCTGCGCGCCTCCAGGCCCGCTCCCGCTCCCGCTCCCGCTCCTCC